GCCTCAAGTCTAAGCATCCTACTCTCCCCATATTGCTCGGTTCGGCTGGGCAGCAGCTCTATAAAGAGTCCTGGTCGTTCCAAAGTTATTTCTTTCAGAATTACAGAGGCCGCTGTGCTCTCAGGAACATTCAGTGCAGCAGACATAAACAAACAGTAGGACAAACCTTAATGTGAGTCATAATCAGACTGTGTTCTCAAAAATGTAAATAGGAATTTGAATGTCTTATTCAAAGTAAGGGCAATTGTTGGACTGTTGCACTAATTGAAAAAGTCAGATTTAGTTTATTCAATAGTTCAACAGAGGTGAAGGTGCAGTTTGTGATAGCATTAGATACGATCTGCAGCCAGAACACCGACACACACTCATGCACATGATCACGTTACACATTACAGGCTACACAGCCTCTCCATCTTAAGATTCCTATCAATATTCAATTTGCATTGATTTTACAGGAGCACAGCTTGGCTCTGGCCAGCAGCTACTGTTCTAAGAATAGACTTTCACAATGATGGAGTCTGGACCCTGAACGAAAATAACACAGAAAGCAGAACAGTAACTGTGCAACATACAATATTCTCTGTTTAGTTAAAAGACTTGTGTTGGGAAATGAATTGCCAATAAAGCTAAAGCCCTGCATATATTCATATGATATAATAATATTTATAATATGAGGATTTCATTGCCTGTGTTTTCTTCCCAGATCAAAGTTTTTTTCAACTTTGTCAAAAGGAAGTTAATCTGTAGAAAGTGCTCTGGGGATTTATAAACACTGTTAAGATAGGAAATCTTACCCCACACGGCAACTTCATGTAAATCAAACTGCTTCCTCTTTTTAAAAAAGAAAACAACCCTCTCTGGCCGTGTGAAGTCCCCACCCCTCCGACCGTACCCCCGTCAACAAGCGTAGAAATGCTTATTCCACAAAAACCCTCTGAGTCTGGCTCTTCTGGTGCCAAACAGAAAAGCACAACATCACAAACTGTGGTGGGGGAGAAAAAGTCAGTGGTTTGTGGTCTGGATAAAAAGTCATTGTAGTTTCTGAAGTAGGGAGCAGCTTATATTTAATCTTATCTAAATTGAACTTGTCTTATTTGTGCTGCTGGACAGTTTATAACTTTCATAGAAACACACTTTTTTTTTTAGACAAAATGGTACTGGAACATCTGTACTTTAATCCAACATTACTCTCCTCCTCCATTTATTTTCTAACTCCCACTTTCTGTTCTTTCAGTCATGCAGAGCTACAAAAGGCATCAGAGGATTTCTGGCATGTTAAACTAATCCACAGTGGGTGTGAGCCTGCGAACACTTCTACTTCTCAGTCCTCCAGCTGTCAGCCTGCTCACAGGAGTTTTACTGCTCTTTCACGACATATGGGAGGAATGTATACGAGGAATCCTGGGCCTGTGCCTGCAGGGTGTTGGTTGGAGAGTCATTTTAAAGAGACATTATCTTCTGCAGACACGATTAATGCTGTAATAACTGGAGACATCATCTCAGTGGTAGCTGCTGATGGAGAGTGGGAGAGGAGAGGGAGCTGGTACAGATATAGATAGTGTGTTTGTGTGTGTGTACAATAATTGTCGGAATAAAACTTTAATCAAGAGCAATACAACAACGGTTCCATATATGTTGTTGTAATACTTGTGCATTGTACAAGCATGGTGAGGAGGATTAACACATAATTTGCTTTAATTTGAATGTTATATCTCATATTTGTTAAAAGCTTTGCTGTTTATTGAGTGTTTGTCATTAAAGTAAAGCACTTAGGAGCAAATATCAGTCTTTAAACTGAAAAGAAATGATGGTTAAACTATTTATTGAGGTAATTATTGATATCGACTGATATTAAATTTTTATTATGTTGATAACAATGTTTTTTCTGCCCTAACTTATCATATAGAAACCCAGATTCTAGGCGTGTATCAAAGATTCAGTGTGTAGAATTTAGTGACATAGCAGTGAAGTTGCGTGTTGCTGCTGAACACCCCTCACCTCACCCTCCACCTCAAAACATGAGAACCAGTGGCAGCCTTCAGTTGTCAAGAAAACTCAAAAGGTGTTTAGTTTGTCCAGTTTGGGCTCCTGTAAAAAACATGGCCGCCTCCGTAGAGAGGACCCACTCCCTAATATAAAGTATTTAAATATAAAGGGCCCATTCTAGGCTAAAGAAACAACAATTCCTACAGTTTAGATGAAGCACACCAGAGAAAACATGACTGGGATTCTTTTATAAACAATTTCTACCCATAGATCCCTTTCACCCAAATCTTACACACTGAAGCTTTAATACTCGAAGCAAAACATCAAGTTTATTTCCAGCTTGACAAAAACCAAACTGCAAAATGAACTTGATGTTTTGCAAAACGTGGCCCAGCCCTTCCCACACCGCCCACACCAGGAGGGCGGGTGGTAATGAAGGAGGGCAACACACACACACACAGTTTTCACAAATCAACATCACTGCTGCTTCAATATAAATAATATAAATATAAGCAACACGTGACTTTAACCTGTAGAACTCACACTCACCTCCCCACAGTCTGGTTGGCGAGTTGCCTCATGCGATTGAACTGTTTCTTCATGGCGACACTTTCCTCTCGTTTCCTACAAAGTGCGTAAAAGTGAGCTGCGCCTGTCGATCATCCACAAAGTTACGCTACGTCTCTGCCATGGTGGCGGAAGAACAGGCTCCGACCACTTGACTTTAATAAACTCTTCTGCTGAGTGAGTTCCCCTCTGGTTTGTCCAGGACCACAGAGGAAAGTCAGTTAGAGGCTCCAGGTTCCATAGCCCCAGATTTCAGCTCTGTTCTCCGGCGCCTGGCCTGCGCGCAGCCGCTGTGCTGGAAAGAAGGAAGTGCCTTTACTTCCCCACTGTACCGAGCAGCGTGACATGTGATACCTCAGCAAGAGAGAGGGGGGGGAAAGAAAAAGCTTTGAGTCAGCTACTGGTCTGTCATGGTCACAGCAAAGTCAAATGATTGTTTAACACTGAGAGTAAATCATAACAAGTCACAGTCAAATGTTTCACTGATAAGATGTCAAATAAATAAAGGAAGTAATATTAGAGAAACGTGAACAATCCAAAACTTACTTGTCAGTAAACTACTTTAAAAAACAAATGAACAAACTAATAAAAGTTATGGTTCACATCAGAGTCAATAAACAGAATGTAATCATCAGCAGCAGCTGCTTTGTAGGAAACTGCTCTCAAACTGCTTCTGACTCTGTGACCACCGCTCTGATGGTTTCAGGTAATGACACTCAAACTGATTATAGATCAGTTTAACACTGAGCAGCCACACTGTTGTTCCATATTATCTGCTGCCACCTTGTGGCTACTTCTGAGGCATGACATAT